CTGAGTTTCTTAGTATATATAAATCAGCTTGGTAAAAGCAAGTTTCTTATTTTTGGTTTGGTTAAAGCATCGAGTAAAATTAAAGCATTGGTAGAAATTACTAAGTCGGTTACCGAAATGCATATATGTATTTTGACATAAGTGGGCGGTGCCATAACCATTTTCCGAAAATGTATGATCATCTTAGTTGCGTTCCAGATGCTCACGATATTCACGATTTGCGGTTTTTTTTTTGCAGGAAAGCGTTCCAGGTGTCAAAAAAACCTGTAAGTCAAACCACTTTTGTGAGAGTAACTTGCTCTCTCTCTCTCAGTCAGAAGTTACAGGAGATAGGTACTATGAAAAAATGGTTAAATAATAACTGGACTGGATTGTTATTAAAAATCTCCTGAAGAGAACCCATACCATTTCTACAATCCTCGGGGGTGAGAGCATAAAAATTCCGACCTTACTTCTTCACATTCATTTTTGGACGTTGCTGGCTTAATTAACTGATCGCAAGTGTATGTATGTATGCATGTATAAGTTTGCACTTTTAAAATTTGTCGAGCATAAACGATGCGCTTGAATCCAGACACAAGCTATGGATCCTCCAGTCAGCACAATTTTAAGAGCGAGATAATTAATGATCCAAAAGCTCGGCTTTGTTCTTCACCCACACATGTTTGTTTGGATTTAGCACAAATCTTTTGACATACATACAGTACATATGTATGTATGTAAGTACATAAGTTTGGGGACAAGCGGTAATACATATATATTTATGTACATACATACATATCTGTATACATAAACACATGTACATAATACATAATATATATAGAAATGGCGGTCACAGAATCGGCGTTTTGAAACACAAGCGGAAGTTGGCGATAAGTCGAGGTGATAAGAACGTCGGGTCTTAAGCCAGCGAAATATATGTGGACACATGTACATACTTACATACATATGTATTTATATACTCATAATGTAGGTAAATGTGGGCCTATGTATGTATGTATCTCTGTTAAATGTACGAGTATTGCGGCATTAATTTAATGTGGGCGGCCGCTGTGGTGTAGTGGTTAGAAGTGCGCTGTACCATTCCACAGGTTCTGTGACAGAGCCCCCATTTTGAAATTAGGGAAAAACCGGATTAACTAGTTTTATTTTTGATAGCTTTTTATACAGTGAAAATGCTTATGTTGGTATTAAGTCATGACGAACACGTAATTTTTAAGCAAAAAAAAAACTGACTTCAATTCTCATTTAAAAATTTATGAATATCGTTAATCTTCATGACCAAATGATTGGATATAAAGCCAATCAGTATGGGACCACATCGGAGGTACCACATTTCCGTTAAAAATAATAGTTACAGAAATCGCTTAATGTGGTCCAAGGTTATGCGGTAACATACATAATAAAAAATATTCCGACGAATCGATAACCTTCTTCTTTTTTTGAAAATTTAAAAATTAAATTATTTTTTTTTTTTAATTACAATAAAACTATTAACAGTAAGGATCAGAGTACGAAAATAAACTGTACAAAACAATTCCCATTTGCTCGTCGATCATCATATCATTTGTGGTTTTGTACAGTTTTGTACATAGTCAGAAACAAATTGTAAGATTCACTGTCATTTTCCCCAACGAGAAACGTTTGCTTTTCGTTTGTGACAATTGTACCATAGGGTGATATCACAAACGTTTCAATTACGTGAAAAATATTTTTTTCTGTAAATTTTCATATCCAATTCAATTAAAAAACATTTTTATTTTTTATTCATTGCAGCCATTCGTTTTGTGTTTAGATATTGCATATGTGTACATACATGCATATATTTTACTCTGCACGGTTCATTTCGTTTGTTGTTTCGTCTGTAACTACTAAACTACTGTAGTGTACTATCGCCAAAGTGAACTCAGCCGTTCTGTTTTCGTATTGTACCGAACTGCTGAAGTAATAAACGAAACGAAATAGTAACGTACCATATAGTTTATTTTCGTACCCTGGTAAGGATACATACATATGTATGTAGCTATTATTAACACAAGAGAAAAGCAAAATAAGTTCAAAGTTTATTTTATATTTAAAGTAAAACATAAAAATTGGAGAAAAGTTCGCGTTTAGCTAATTTTATTTTTAACCGACTTCACAAAATTCGTCGGATTTTAAAATAAAATAAAAAGGAAGAAGGAAGGAAATGGTTGGGCACGATTAAGATTACTAATAAGACTAACCCAACGAACACAGTCTCTAACGTAAGAGAAATTTGTATTTCTACATTAGATAACTAGGGTAATTCTCTAACCGTTCTCGATTCGATGACTAAGTTAAAGAACTACATTAGAATTCGATTCGAGAACGATTAGAGAAACAACGCAAATTCAAATAAGCAATATTCCAAATGAATGAACCATAAATTATTTTTAAGTTCAAATAATTCATTATTATTTTGTTGCAAATACATTTAGTACAAATTTTACAAACAAAGCTTTTCATTTGATAAAGCAAAACAGTAGTTTGAAATTCAATTTCGAATCCCATTAGAGATCAACATTAGCATTCGATTAGAGAATTAATATTTTCTCGTGTCGAGAACTAAGTCCCATTTTTGTTGAGATCGCTATGATTCTCGATAGTTTTTCGAGTCGTTCTCTAACGTTTGAGATTGGATAATGTGGCTAGTTCTCCAATCATTCTCTAATCGATAAGTAACCTCAATGTTTGCTGGAAAGATTCACATTAAGATTAGGATTGGGATTCAAATTGAGGTTAAGGCTAAGATTGAGATTCAGATGAAGATTAAGTTTGAGGTTAAGCTTAAAATTGAGAAAAAGACCAAGGCGGGATTAATATTAAGATTTTTTGTTAGAAAAAAATTGTTTCATGGACCTGGCGGAGTGTGAATTAAACTTAGTGATAGTTCAGGAAACACGGTACAATTCGGAAAAATGTCAGCATGGGCGGGTTCGGGGCTTAAAAATTGAATTTCGGGATTACCGACGATTTTTATTCCGTGCCAATCTCTAGTGTTGTTCTTATTTCACTGGTAATGTCCATGCATGCTAGTCGTTGGAGTTTGCTCAGCTTTGCCTAAGCGGACTTGACTTCATTTTGGCCCTATCTGATTCAGAATAAGTTCCTCTCATTTCTTTCTGTCTCTCAGACGAAACCCCATATTGAATCCACCTGCGTTTTTGTTAACACATTACAGTTTTATCAATCTGCACAGAAGTATGTTAAGTGATCCACTTGTCTAAGAGCTTCCGAACCAATTTATGTATTTTAATAAATCGTATATTTAATAAGTCGTAACAGTTTCGAAGACATAATCAGAGAACTCGTTGTCAATTGCTTATTTAATTTCTATATGCATCACTAAAATTTATAAATTAATTAAATCCATTCGCAAGACTGATAGTATTAAAAAATAAGTTTAAAACCCCACAAGCGTTTAACGAGGTCATCCAAAAGTATGCGCACTTAGAAAAGAACCAATTTTGTTTTTATGATACATACATACATATATGTATGCACATATGTATACGTATGTAAGTAAGCTTGGCTTATCTCGTCGTCGTCTAACTTCTACCATTGTCGCCAATCAAAGGCTCTCATAGTATTTTAGTCTGATTTTTTGAATATTCTAAGCTAAACAGCGCAACTAGAAGGTTCACATTTACATTTGTTTTTTTTTTTGCAGTTTTGAGTAATCACACAGCACACGTTACGCAACCATGAAGTGGGCAATGCTGCTCGCTGCGGGCCTTCTCTGCCTGATGCCAATGCACGCAGAGGAGCTGTCCGATAGTGAATTCGACCTGGACGATCTTGCCGACTTTGACGAGAGTGCAGAGGAGTTGCTGCGTCAATTTGAGGAGAAAAACTTGGTAGGCACAATGCGGAGGAATACGTATTCTAGTATCAAATACATATATCAAGTTATTTTAATTTTAGAACAATGATTTAGACCGTGAAAATGAGCTCGCTTCTAAATTGGCAGCTGAGGCTGTAGATCAACAGAATAACATTTGAACCCGGTTGTTGAAAGTGAGTATATGTACATATGTATGTATGTAGCTCTTTATCTACACAGTAGCGTCTTATCAACAAGCGGAAATTCTTATATTTTTTTTCAATTCTGTTCTCAGTTGACCCATGTGAGAAGATGCATTGCGGCGCCGGTCGTGTATGTCAATTGAATGGCAATGAAGCTAAATGCGTCTGCATACCTGAGTGTCCGGAAGAGCCCGAAGCGCGTCGTCACGTCTGCACTAACCATAACGAAACTTGGCCTTCGGATTGTGCTGTCTATCGGCAAAGATGTCTGTGTGACACCAAAGCGGCCGGTTGTCTGAACCCCGAAAATAGCCACGTACACATCGACTACTATGGTCCATGCCATGAAAAACGCGAATGTTCCGAAGAGGATATGAAGGATTTCCCACGTCGCATGCGTGACTGGCTTTTCAACGTGATGCGCGATTTGGCCGAACGTGATGAACTGACAGAACATTATATGCAAATGGAATTGGAAGCCGAAACCAATATGACCCGTCGTTGGGCCAATGCAGCAGTTTGGAAGTGGTGTGATTTGGATGGTGACACCGATCGCTCTGTGTCGCGTCACGAACTGTTTCCCATTCGTGCGCCATTAGTTAGTCTAGAGCAGTGCATCGCACCATTCTTAGAATCCTGTGACTCGAATAATGATCATCGCATCACTTTAGTCGAATGGGGTGCTTGCTTGGAATTAGATGAGGTATGTAGAATTGTGTAAATGGAAAATTGTTGAAAGTTCACCATAATTTTTTCTATTATTATGCTTTTAGACCGATTTAAATGAGCGCTGTGACGACATTCACAGAAGTACTCCCATTTTACTTGGCTAAAAGTCGTTGGATGAAGGACGATTTCTTTAATAATACTTGAAGCTTTATTTACCGTATCATTACTAAACATTAGATGTGCACTCATATAGTTTTGTGTACGGTCAATGCTTATCACCAAAAATTGAGATTTTAGTTTAAATATAAGCGAAATAAATTTTTTTTAAATGTATTTTAGTAAAAGCTTTAATTGATCTATATCAGCGGATAGGAGTGCATATCCTTATTAATAAAAAATAGTTTCACTTCCCTTTCCGGAATTTTGAATACATTCATACATACATATATATGCCATTTCCATGGACCGTAACTGTTAAGTTTATTTTTTCAAAAGAGTCAAAGATTGTAGGTTGTAGCTATGGCCGAGTACAACATAAAATGCATGCATAGTTGCTGAACCCTCCATTTTTATTTTATTTAAAAACAACCGTTATGTTCGTAATTGATGCACTTATCCATTAACAGTTTACCACCTTTTCACCTGATTTTAAAAACCGAACATAATTTGGAAAGAGATCTTTAAAATGATGTATATTTTTATCGGTTAAACTTTAATAAGCCCCTACTTTTCTTATTTTTTTTTCAAATTTGATCATCGCTAGTTTCAAAAATTTCTATGAAAATTGCCAAACAAGTGGAATTTATCTAAAACAGGGCCGGATCGTGAGTTCGATTTTGGGGGAAGGGATTATAAATGAATTATATTTTTATAAATCATATGTTTTTGAGAAAAACACACCGTAGTAGTTTTAAAATGTCAAAATTACATTTCTCGACTGACAAATTCGAGCTAACTCGACGGCACACACTGTGCATTTTTAACACTTCGTGCCACATAATCGTAGCGCTTTCGACAGAAGCAATATTTTGATGTGAAACAAAATGGCTTTGAAAGCTAATGTAACTGCTAATATTGCCATTGAGCCACAATCACTCCTTGACCTTAAAAAAATAGTGTTCTTCGAAAAACAAAATTTAAATCCAACGGATATATTAAAAACAAACTTTTCTTGTATTTTCTATTATACTAATATTATAGATCTTGAGACGAGAAACATGATTCCACTGTTTAAAAAACGAAAAAATTTCAATCCGCCAATTTGAAAAATGCATTATATATCTATTGCATTTTTTATAATTTGCTTGCAGCTGTGCATTCTTCACACAATTTTATATCCCTCGAACAAAAGTCAGTTTTAGTGCTATTCAAGACCTTTAATTTGAGCCAAGGTAGAAGTCTCTAGGCCCTTTGAGAGCTAACTTATTACGATTCTGAAGTTCAACTCCGAAATTTCATTCGACATTTTACGCAATTTTTTTTTTGAATTTCGGAGTAAAAACTAGTACTGCAGCTTCGAAGTTTGGCTTAAAATTGTTATAACTTGGCTCTCAGAGGGCCTAGAGGCTTCAACCTTGGCTCTAATTAAAGGTCTAGAATTGCACTAATGTTCGATATAAAATTGAGTGAAGGATGCACAGCTGCATGCAAATAGAAGAAAATGCAATAAATAATGCATCCTTTAAATTAAGTGTTCAAATTTTTTTTTTCGAATCTCGTGTCACCGTGTTTGTGGTCGAACTCTTCCGCAACGGCTCGACCGATCCTCATGAAATTGTTTGTGTATATTTGCTAGGTTTGAGAATCGGACATAAAGTATATTTCATACCGCTAAGTGAAGGGGGCATATTTTATATGAGAATTGAAGTCGGTTATTTTTTCTAAAAATTACTTGTTTTTCTTAATCAGTTTGCGGTATGGAGAATCTTATACGGTTGACAAACGGGCCCGCTTATTTGCATAAACAGCCTTTATTTGCTTTGGCTCATGCATTTTCCTCTTTAAAATGCGCATAAGCAGCCGAACAAATGCACGAAATTTTTGGGAATTACCTCGGATCCGGGGAATTTTCAATGATAACACTGGTAAAAACGGCCAGCTATTGTCTTTTGTACAAATAAGCAAACAAAGCAGCCGAGGGGTGAGAGTTGCGGGCAATAAGCCTGTAGCTGCCAGGTTCGATCCTCGGTTGGAGCGATTGCGAAAATTTTTTTGTTTTTATTATTTATTTTATATTTTTTTATTTAATTTAATTTATACATNGTGGAGTATAATTTTATTAAAAAGTCAACAACCACTAACTGAAAGCAACGTAGAAAATATAGAACTTATAAAAAAAGAGAATGAAAACGAAATAAATGAAAATGCGACTGGCCGTGGGACTCGAACCCGCGACCTATCGGCTCGTTTATCCGCATTACTGCCGTCTGTAAGGGTAAAATTATTAAAGCTTTATCACAGCGCACGCGTACGTACCTTCATTTAATTTTGTTCAAACTTTCAGGAATTAAAACACAAAAAAACAGCTAAGAGGGTTTTGTTCCAGGATGTTTTGATTCGTATGCCTTTGTGGGCGTGATTGCTGCTTGAGATTCGAAAAAAGGCAATTTTTTAAACTACCCTTGAGACCATACTACTCAGTCCATATCATTGATGTGGATATCAGTAGAAGGGCCTTCAAACAGGCCAACTAACGCTATCTTTTGTGTTTATAAAATATAAAAATGTCATAACGTTATCGCCTGAAAACTAAAAATCGGGCTGCTGAAAATATACATTTCGGGAATTTTCTCAAAAACTGGTCAGTCGATTTTATTCTATGTTTCCACAAGTCTAGCCCAAAACCTTAGCTTTGCATTTGGTATATAGCTTATATCTGGGAAAACTTTTGTTGTGGAGATATTGCACATATGTATAAATTGGCACTGAGCAAAACTACTTGAGAAAAAAGCATTAGTTTAATAGCACGAGTGCCACACCGTACACGTGACAGAAGTAAAACTTCTTAAAAAAAGTACATGTGTGCGCCCCACACCCGGTAGAAATCTTAACAAAAATAAACACGAGACTATCTGACGAATACAGTTGTTTATTGTATCCAAAGTTGGTACCCAGTTGATAAGTTTTTATTATATCTCATTTTTTTTTTCGAATACCAAGGATATGATCATTCCTTTTCGCTTTATTCCGTATTCGAAAAATTATGTGTTTTAATGGACACATCGATTTGAATGCATAATATAGATTTAGATAATATTTTTAGCAATTTATTTGAGAAAAATAAAACATTTAGATTATTGTTATGAATTTTCGTCGATTTTAAATTTGCTACCCCAAAATACGAAATGACGAAAGCTGAACTAGAAACACAAAATTTATGATATCAGTTTCGTGACGAAAATTATACGCATTTTTTAACTGCCTTTGGAACGTACGGAAAATCTTTTTTTTTTATTTGTTCGGAACGTTGCGAAATTCCGTCTACTGTTAGAAGCACAAAATAAAAAACTGAACTTTCCCTACGTTTCGAATATCATAAATTTTGTGTTTCTAGTTCAGCTTTCGTCACTCGAAAATTTTAACTCAAAGAGGTGTTTTATTTGATATTAAAGACACAAAATTTGTATTTTTATCATGGTGGAATAATAACAAGGTGTTGTCAGTAACTTAACCTCACTTTTTCGGCAGGTCTATTCCGGTCACGCATTTTAGGGCCGGTTGTTCAATGTCTGGTTATCACTACCACTACACTATCGACGATTTCGACATCATGCATGTAACATGTGATCGATAAAGCAGTAGTTGTGCTTAACCGGAGCTTCTACGTCCGATTTGTGCTAATCAGACATTGAACAACCGGCCCTTAATTTGAAATAGTATGCACCAACGGATTAAAGGTAGTAAATAATTAGTACCTTTTCTAGTACTTTAAGGCAGGTTGTGGGAAATCGCGATTGAAGTTTGGAATGCAATTTCTCAAAAACGAGAAGATAGATATTCTCCAAAGTGTCTGAAAATGTTACTAGTTAACGAAATTCTTAAATTATTTAAATTTTAATGTTTAATGTTAATTAGCTTTCGAGTTTATGAAGGATTTTCTTTAGTCAAATTTTGTTGTAAGCGTCATTTGTCCACAATTTGGCAGCCTCTCTGTATGAAACACGACAAAATGTGATCAAATTCCTACTAAATTAACGACACTTTTTACTCAATATCTCGGAAACTAAAGGAGGAAAATGGAGAACGTCATTTTTAAGATATTGATTAGTTTAATATGGCTGCATCACTAACTAAATTATAGAAAAAATTGTAGTCAACATCTCGGAAACTAAAGGAGATATCTAACTTATGCACAAATCCGAAGACGAAGGTAATGTGAACACCAAGAAGAATACTTATACGGGGACCTAGGCTAATATAAAAAGCAATACAATTTCTGCAGTATGAAAGAAAATAAAAATGAATCAAAGTAGTGATATACGTCATGGCATATATCTATTTATAAGCTGATGGTACATATGATTGAAGTTAATGTGGATCTACTTCTCTATTGCTAATTCAAATTAAAACGAGTATTTCATGTACCGTTTTTATCTTGGACGTGATCTTAATAATATTACGTATTCTACGTTTAAGTTTAGCGGCTTTGGCTCCGACACAGCCTGCAGGTCAAGACGAAGACGCTGGACTGATCCTTTTTTTTTTAATTTGATTAGGTGCCTATGATGAAATGAAGCAAGTCCTTCGTTTCTGCGGTAATAATATAGAACCAGTAAAAACTTACCTGATCATCTTACTACATATCTGTGTTCGTATGGAAAAGTAGCTTATATCGAAGGGCTGGATTTAGTATAAATCGGCATTCGCAGCATGCGATTGCGAATGACTCACAGGCACTGAGCCGTTGAACAACGTTTGGCAAATAAACGTGGAAGAAATAGTTCCGACACTAGCAAGTCAATATTCTTATTAAGTCTCATCGAAAAATTTCTTGTCGTTTAAAGAATAAAGGGAATGCCGCATTATACTAAAGCCAGCCTTTCGACATAAGCTACTTTTCCATACGAACACAGATATACTTTCCTAAGAATTGATAATGGTAGTAATTTTATATGTATATCAGCATAGTCTTTGCATTAATTAACTATGTATTTGGTCTTCTCTAAATTTCGACAATTTTATGTTTTATTTATTTTAGCTTTCATCAATTTTCGTTTTGCGTGTAAAATATTGTTTTAAAGTTAGGCTTTTCATTTAAGAAAAAATTATATGATAATTAATATTACTTGTATAACAATACGAAAATTATCATAAGTTGTTAAAAAAGAAGTGAATGTTATTATTAAAATAAGAATTAATACCCTTGGGAGAGAATTACAGTATTTTTTCTCTGCGGGTCTTGAACATTGTCCTCCTGTAAAGGATGTTTTAATTATCAGCCAAATTCTTTATAAAAAATGTGTTGACAAAGTTAAACTTACCTTTTTGCCAATTAAGGATTTATGAATATGTGGAATGACACCACCACCAGCAATGGTAGCTTTAATCAGACTATCCAATTCTTCATCACCACGAATAGCCAACTGCAAATGACGCGGCGTGATACGTTTAACTTTAAGATCCTTTGAGGCGTTGCCTGCCAACTCGAGCACCTGAAAAAAATCAAATCAAAAAAAGTTGAATACGGTGTTGTAATCGTATTGAATTTTATGACGGATTTATCACCATGAGTAGGCGCTAATGGAACCATGTAAGCCTTTTTACAAGCTTTTATTTAACTTGCTCTGTATGTATGTATGAATGTTTGTTAGGGGCAAATCTTGCAATCAATTTTTTACCAACTTTCGAAAGACCTAGGGACTTGAAACTTCACAGTTGGCTCAGAACCCGATGACAATACAATACGAAGGATGAGTTAATCCGATAGGTGGCGCAGGAATCCAAATATTTGAAAAACCCGTATTTATAGTCCGATTTGGTTGATATTTAGAACGTATATGTATTTATATGAAAAGGAATAACTCCCACTAAAAAACTTGCCGATAATGCGCCGACATGATATACTTGGTTAACCAGTATCTATGGTCCGATTTCGTTCATATTTAGAAAGGTTGCTTTAAAAATATTTGTTTTTTTAAATTCACTTATTTTAATATTAACCGCATACAACTTGAATATACCATGACTGACTTAATCGAATTTAAAATCAAAAAAGTTTTTCTACGATTATTAAAACCCAGTGTAAGGAAGAAATTTTGTTCCTCGAACGCTTGATGTAGGTAGTCTTTCATAAAAAATAACAACGTCGCATTAATTGGCGCTTGAATACCCACGTTACGAACATATTGGTCATGATATTTTGATGTCATGACACTCCATATCTACATATCTACATAAATATGCACTTTTAATAATATAACGAAGTAGTTCAAAATTTCAATATTATGGGAAAACGCAATCGAAAGTTGTATCAATTCATACAGTTGGTATACAAAAAGACAGATGGCAAGAAACATATCTTCGCCATATTTGGGAAGTATCTTTTAAAACTGAACGTATTGTACTCATCAAGGCTTATTAATTGCATAATTGCATATACGTACGTACATTTTTGTCGCTTAAGTCGCAAGACTGCAAGAAATAAATAAATAAAATTGTGGTTCATCAATTGAGACATATGTATGTATGTACAGTGAATCGAATAAAAACTGGGGCGCGACATTTTAGCAATGTTTATTATTTTCATATGAAAGTATAAGTGATTATTTAACAAACACAATATAGATCCAAATTTCAAACTTCGTGCAAAAATTTTGAAATTATGAAAGTTTGATCAAAATTTATAATTTCTCCATCAGCATCTTTAGACAACATTTTCGAATGCAATTATGTAGCTCGTTAAATTTTAATATATATACATATGTAGTAAAGAGCAAATTTTGAAGTATCTAGTGTTGGCGGTGTTCCGCACTTTTTTTATATAAAAAATCTTCGAACATACTTTATATGGAAAAAATGCGAAACACGAAAACAAAAAAAAAAGTTGCCCAAAATCAACGGTAAGTCCTTGCTACCCAAAAATGTCTCTTCATTGTACTAAAATTTAATAAGCTACAAAACTGCATACCAAGAATTTATAGTGACTCAAACAAATGACTACTCGCTGTTTTTTTAATATTCGTAATATTTTTCCAGTTAAATTTTTTTTATTTTATATAAAAATATCGTAACAGTGTAACATCACAGTTTCAAACTTTATACAAAATTTAGAAAATGCAACAAGTTTTCATCAAAATTTCAACATTTCATTCTTAATTTTTAAGAAAATTTGTGGGTATGCAGTTGTATAGCCCACACAATTTTAGTCTAATGAAATATGAGTGTTTTTACTCTCTAGAAAATATTTATGTAATCTCACATACGAGATTTTGCATTATTTTGATACGCAGTTTTGTATTTTAACTGCCTAACCAGAATGGTGAGGCTATGGTATGTAGAAAGAGCTGTCGAAGAGTTAAAATATTCTAAATGCTCTAAACTGTCCGCAATATGTAACTGTGGTTTTGGTGTATTATTTTTGATGTANCTTTCAAGAACTATCGTGTAGTCGATAGCAATACGAATTTACAAAATATTAAGTTGCATCTTTCAATTTCCATCTCAACATTTCACAATGTCCCATGTACATTGCAGCACGCGCACTCACAATTGCGACGTCCATTAGCCAGCGCCAGCATTTTAAAGAGATTTAACGTTTAAATTTGCGCAATTTACCATTTTATTTATTCTATATCTTTATTCAAAAGCAAACCGAAATAGCAACAAATTTTCAGAACACCTTTGGAATGAAATAACTCAATCTGTAATTTTTCTCAAATTTTCCTTGCACGACAATTTTTATGCTTTGAACAGAGGAACGTCAAGTCCGAATACCACGAAGTTTTTTTCACGAATGCCGCGTTCGCGCAAAGCAAAACACTTCGTGGCGTTCAACGAACACTTTCAGCCTCAGGGTTGCAATTCTGATCTGAAATGCCCAAATTATACGTTTTGGAGATCCCCAATTTTGTATTGGTATTCACAATTGTAGCGATTGCAACATTTAATTGAAGCAATTTGTTAAAACCTTTTTGCGTTCTCTACCGCTATAAATCGTTGTTAATAACCAACTAACATAGATGCATAAGCATCTATATATATGTATGTACATGCATACATTTATATACCCATGAACCAACGGCTACAGATCACGCAATCCGCCATCGTTGTATTTTAATCGAATTTCATAAAAAAGTTTTCGTAGCGTTTTTGGTTTTTCCCTTTTGTTTACATCGTCTTCTATCGCTTCGGGATGCCTTTTTTAGCAATTTCATGTGTTTTTTGAGCAATTTTCATTTAAATTTTGATTTTTTACAAATTTATGGATAGAATGAAGAATATATGATGATGATGAGTCAAGTGTTTCGTGATCGGAACAAGTTTGTGCATTTGTTTGGTCTGGCGAAAGGCCTAAATTTTCGTGAAATGTGGGTGCACGTTTCAGGCCAGAACGTTGGCATTGAAAAATTGACCCGTAGTAATGATATGCGATTGTAAAACGCATGAAAACCATATTTTATGAACTTTTTTTGCTAATTGTCATCAAGTTTCNTTGCAATTTCATGTGTTTTTTGAGCAATTTTCATTTAAATTTTGATTTTTTACAAATTTATGAATATAATGAAGAATATATGATATAGAGTCAAGTGTTTCGTGATCGGAACAAGTTTGTGCATTTGTTTGGTCTGGCGAAAGGCCTAAATTTTCGTAAAATGTGGGTGCACGTTTGAGGCCAGAACGTTGGCATTGAAAAATTGACTCGTAGTAATGATATGCGATTGTAAAACACATGAAAACCATATTTTATGAACCTTTTTTTGCTAATTGTCATCAAGTTTCACTTTGTATATTTTATAATAGGTTTGTTCCAGAAGCTACCCCTACAAGACATTGCTGAGCACTTTAGGCAAAAATTCTCACACATCTACACTTTTGTTTTTGTAGTACGGCATAAATGAGTAGTTTGACTATTAGTACTGAGGACTTTCTGATGACAACATTGAGGGGAAAGTACTCAATTTTTACCCATGGCCTGAACGAAAATGAGGACTTTGATAAGCACTTTTGTGATTAGGGATAATGATAATATGAGTACTCATATGATACTCAGCTGTCTTGNTAGGTTTGTTCCACAAGCTACTCGAAGTCACTTCGAGTTACACATACGCGTTCCACATGTAAGTTTTCGAGTTTTGTTTGATATACGCTGACAGTTTGAACTTTGCTCCAGTTTTTCTACAAGCAGCTTGTGGAACAAACCTAATAAATACCAATTTAATCGAACCCAATCACCGCGCCTTTTTCGTTTTCTTTGTTTGTTTTCATTCTTAGACAGATGTCAAAAACGCTCAGAAATTTAATTTTTTCACTCTATTCCGATTGCGTGATGTTGTTGTTGTAACAGCATACAAACTCCCCAAAGACTTTTTGGGGAGTGTTGCTGGAGTGACAGTCCTTGGCCAGATATAAATCTGGGTCGTTCCGGTTACGTAGACCCGACTGTCGTGGGAACGCCGATTGCGTGATCTTGTTAGTTGGTTCTTGATATATACCTACATGCGACTATATCCCTATCACTTAAAAATACATTTCCCGTGGAGAAAGACACTCAGGGCCAATTTTTCAGTGCACTGCTGTGTTTTAAACTTAGTTTAAACTTGGTTTAAACCTAAATTAGCCAATCAAATGCCAGCCTGCTGTCAAATTTTTGGTATTTTTGGTTTAAAAAATAAGCTTTTGGTTTTTACTGGCATCACCTTCTGAGTTGACCTGTCAAACAAGGCAACTCCGTAAAAAGAAAAAGAAAAACACCACCAAATGAAAAGGAGAAAAGCAAACTCGGAAAGAATTCAACGGTTCGGAACAAAGCGCACAAGAATAGAATAAAAAGCATCTTTCCAAAAATTGGCGCGTTGATTATATTATTTTGAATTTGTAAAAGGATCTTTGGANTACAGATGTCAAAAACGCTCAGAAATTTAATTTTTTCACTCTTCCGATTGCGTGATGTTGTTGTTGTAGCAGCATACAAATTCCCCAAAAACTTTTTGGGGAGTGNGATGTCAAAAACGCTCAGAAATTTAATTTTTTCACTCTATTCCGATTGCGTGATGTTGTTGTTGTAACAGCATACAAACTCCCCAAAGACTTTTTGGGGAGTGTTGCTGGAGTGACAGTCCTTGGCCAGATATAAATCTGGGTCGTTCCGGTTACGTAGACCCGACTGTCGTTTTCTTTGTTTGTTTTCATTCTTATACAGATGTCAAAAACGCTCAGAAATTTAATTTTTTCACTCTTCCGATTGCGTGATCTTGTTAGTTGGTTCTTGATATATACCTACATGCGACTATATCCCTATCACTTAAAAATACATTTCCCGTGGAGAAAGACACTCAGGGCCAATTTTTCAGTGCACTGCTGTGTTTTAAACTTAGTTTAAACTTGGTTTAAACCTAAATTAGCCAATCAAATGCCAGCCTGCTGTCAAATTTTTGGTATTTTTGGTTTAAAAAATAAGCTTTTGGTTTTTACTGGCATCACCTTCTGAGTTGACCTGTCAAACAAGGCAACTCCGTAAAAAGAAAAAGAAAAACACCACCAAATAAAAAGGAGAAAAGAAAACTCGGAAAGAATTCAACGGTTCGGAACAAAGCGCACAAGGATAGAATAAAAAGCATCTTTCCAAAAATTGGCGCGTTGATTATATTATTTTGAATTTGTAAAAGGATCTTTGGAGCAGTGCGAGGATGCCTCGAGCAGTTAAAGCCAAAGCCGGTACAGCTGGTGCTGTTACAGGAGGGAAGGCGGCTGCTCCTAAACGCAATAAGTTATATGCCATGCCGGAGAAGATTGCTGAAGGTACAATTTTGACAGACTTATCCAAAGCACAGTGGTCTATTGGATCTTCGATCGGTACTGGTGGTTTTGGAGAAATTTATTCCGCTTGTCGCGTTGGCGAAAAAAGCTTTAGCTATGTGGTTAAGTGCGTAAGTAACGCAGTGACTACATGACAAAATTTCAGAGAATATTAATATTTGTAAATATCTTATAGGAGCCTCATGGTAATGGTCCATTATTTGTGGAAATGCATTTTTATATGCGCAATGCTAAACTAGAAGATATTAAAAAATTTCAGCGCGAACATGGTCTGAAATCACTTGGCATGCCGCACATGATTGGAAACGGGTCAGTTGACTTGAAAGGAATAAAACATCGCTTTATTGTTATGCCACGTTATGGTAGTGATATTGCGAAACACTTCTTAGCCAATGGACGACGCTTACCCGAGGGGACCATATACAGATTGGCATTGCAAATGTTAGATGTGTACGAGTTCATACATTCATGTGGCTACGTGCATGCTGACTTGAAAGCGGCTAACATCCTTTTAGGCTATGGTAAAGAAGGTAATAACCAAGCATACTTGGTTGATTATGGGCTAGCATCACATTATACGACAAAGGAATTTAAACCGGATCCAAAAAAAATGCACAATGGTACCATTGAGTATACATCTCGTGATGCTCATCTCGGTGTGGCTACGATGCGTGCAGACTTTGAAATTTTAGGATATAATATAATCGAATGGTCAGGCGTTCAATTGCCCTGGATAAAAAACAACTTACTCTCTGTACCAACTAAAGTACAACAAGCCAAAAATGAGTTCATGGCAGACATAACTAGTAGCCTCAAGGCCATATACCCTAAAAGTGCTCCTGGTAAGAGAAACGATATACATATTTATTACAAATTAATATATACTAAAACTTCTTTTCAGCTCCTATAGATGAGTATATGAAGTATGTAGCTAAAATGGAATATAATGAAAAACCTGACTATGAAAAATGTCGCAAAATATTCGGCAATGCTATAAAAACTATGAAAATTTCCAATACTGGGGAATTACAGTTCAACGTAAAGGATGATACTAAACATCCCACTCCTTCGACAAGCAAGGCACGTCCCAAAGTATCTGCTAAACGTCCAGCAAAACCGGATACATCTGTAGAATTGTGCGCAAGTGACGACGATGATGACGATGTAATATTTGAGGAAACCAAACCTGTTAAAAGAGTACCGCAAAAACCACTTAAAACGATTGCAAAGCGCTCACCGAAAACTGCAGCCAGCCCAAGAAAACATATATTGCAAGCTATAAAATCCCCAACACGAAAAGCGACACCAACATTGCGTGGGTCACCCGAAACTATGGCTGAGGCGAAGACCATGTTTAAAGCAACTCCGACTCGAAAGCGGCGATCGTCGTCTTTCTCACCAGCAAAGGTTCTACGAAGTTCGCCTTTGCAAAAGAAAGCAAAAGCTGCGCCGCATGAAGCTGCCAATGGCAACAGCTCTAGTACCCCAAGCTCGAATACGAAAAGATCTACACCATTAGCTGCAAAAGCTAATATAAATTTCAGTCCAGCGATTTCGCTATCAACTTCGCGACCAGGAAAGACAATCGTTAACGACAATACTACACCAGTACCACGAACCGGTAAGACGTATGAATTTAATTTTGAATTAGATGTTAGTATGGACGCTAATGTTGTGGTCAACGTAAAACGAAAGAAGAAAGCACCAACAACTGGTGCCACTAGCAAAGATAGTGTTGGCCAAAGCAGTTCTCAGTCGATTCGTTCAAACGGGTATTCCACAAAGAAAAGTGACACCGCCGATGATGAAAAAAGTACACCCGTTACAAGAGTTAAGGTGAGAAAGATACCCAGCGATGATGCTTGCGATAGTCCACGTACCCCAGCGGTAACTGTTAAAAAATCAAGACGTGTGGTCTCATAAGAAACTTTCTTCACTGTTATACATAGATTTTGCATTTTTATTTTCATAAAAATTTAATACATTCATATTTTTTCTTAATTATATATGTATGTATGTAATAGCTTCTATACATTAATGGTTTGTTGAAACGTGCCACAGAATGAATAAGATGCTATTGGACATTATTTTGATGGCAGGGATTGAAAACATAAAAAATTGTTGCTCTTTACATTGAATAAACTTTTGTACTAAATTAAATCTTTAATTTGTTGGCTCTAAACATAGAATAAATATTTTTAGTTGCATAACAATCAATATCTACTTGATAGAATTAGGTTTTGTAGCAAGTTAAAAATGATCTTTGGAAATTATTCCGTTTCAACATTGCCAAGGATTTGATTTGGATTATATCCTAAATATAAAACTACAAACCATTAGACTCTTTATTCTAAACCGCACTAGAAGAAAACTGGCATCATCTTTATTTACTTAAAATATTACAAAACCAAAAAGCGAATTGAATTTATAACCAATTTTTGGCCGGTATATTCCAACGAAAAAAGGTAAAGATTATTTTGGTTTACGTCTGCTATCATGATGTTTGGATGACGATTTCGATGAAGACGATTTGCTGGAAGAAGACGAGTGTGAAGATGATTTTTTTGAAGAATGCGAGGAGCTCTTCTCGCCTGCACTGACAACATTGAAGGTCGGATTAATAGCACTGCTGGACGAACCAGATTTAGAACTACTTGATGAAGGTCGCTCTTCTCTATGCGATCTAGAGCTTTTGTGGTGGTGATGTCTACTCGAAGAACTTGACGAAACTTGTACGGGCGCAGCTGCGGTTGTACTGGGTGCCTCTTGTTGTATAACTGCAAACGGAGATGATGAATTGGATGATGATGACGAACGTGACGATGTTGCCGATGACTTGGTTTTTGACACCAATGAAATTGGCTCTTCGATGACAACACCGGCCGCCTTACTGGTTGAAGGTTTATTAAGACAATTATCGCACTGCCAATTGTGCTCTTGGCCTTCAGATGCTTCTTCATCAGTAATTGGTGGTTTGTGGCATTCCTGATGATAAAGAGTTCCACAGTTAGAGCATTCAATTAAACGATTAGTAGCGGTGAAAACCATTTCACCGCACACGGCACAATTTAAATCTCCGAATTCCTTTAAATTCACATCTTCATCAACACCCGTAAGCAATGTGCTGCCAACGTGGGCACCATCATCCGAATCTATGATGGTGTCGGGTGAGTCGGAAATGGTTTTAGCAGGGGAACCTGTTAAATTAATCACTTCGTCGACTGTTGGGTCCTGCTCCATAGTTTGTTGTTGTTCCTGTGGTGGTGGCGGAGTTGCAGCGCGACCGGGGAAATTCGCTTCAAATTCTATTAGAGTCTTGCTCATGTTATTTGAAATCATAAGCTCTGGACCATAACGTTGCTTTATGGCTTCATCCAACATTATTCTCAGCTCCGCAGCTGAGTTTGGATTGGGTGAGTAGAGTAACCTAATTGCTTTGCGCAACATTTCCATTTCATTAGTATTTGTTGCCATTACTTATTGAGCTGCAAAAAAGTTTAAAGACTGTTGAAAACTTGGCAATTTAATATAAATAGTTAATGGAAATAGATACTCCTTAAATAATGCAGGCGATTAGAACAGCTGATTCAAAAGTTCATAAAACTGCAGGGTTGCAAAATTTCATCCCAAAACTGCAATTTAGCATGAAGAAATAAAAATTTATTGTGAAATCGTACATTCAACATATCGCACACCGCCTTCAAAAGAGTCACAACTCAAAATACGTTCGTCAAAAAATGCGAAAAACGATTTCGTAGTACATGCTAATCATATGGGCAAGGGCGACTTTACCTTCGTTTTTTTTGTAACAAATTATAACAAAAATATGCTCCAGTTTTTGCTGAACAGTAAAAGCTTTGTGTACAATTTTAGCGCATAANAAACAAATTATAACAAAAATATGTTCCAGTTTTTGCTGAACAGTAAAAGCTTTGTGTACAATTTTAGCGCATAATTTCAAAAATGCCAAATTTTGAGTTGTGACTCTTTTGAAGACCGTGTGCGATATATGTGTATATGATCATATGTTTGTAAAAATTTAATACCATCAATAATAGTTATTACGTTAATCCCATGGTTGAAATATAAAATTATCAATTATTGAATCATGCGTTATTCCCACGGTTTATATTCTTTAGAAAAAAATTATTGAAAATTTATGGAAATTTAAGGGTATTTTTTTTTAAGTAACTGGCAATCCACAAATGTCGCTAATGTCAAATCTGTTTTCATCATCACTATGCCTTCATGGTGTTCGCGTGAATTTCCATTGATTTGGTTTATTTCGGCGAAGCAGCTGATTCTAGTAAAGTTAGAACAATTTATTAATTGACGCTAAAAAGCGTTAATCACCATTTGTAAAATCTATACATATGTACATTGTTATCATAAAATTTGATCGACTGTGATAAGGTCATGACATCTTAATACGCTGATTTGGCTCAGAACAATGCAGTAATCTATTCAAATTTAAAGGTTGATTTTAGTGACCAATATTTCACAAAGGAATAAACCTCGCCTGCAAGGCGCCAGTCATATTGTAATAAAAGAATCGATGAGTTTCTAGTGTTAATATCAAGTTTCATTAGAGACCCGAAACACATATGACTTTAGTGTTCAATAGTGCGTGAATTTCATAATTTAGCCGTCAAAACAAATAAGCCTTTATTAAGAAAACAAACGAAAAAAAACGCAATGAATAAGAAGTTAATAACCACAGCGGTGCTAAGTTTATTTGTTATAGAAGCTTGTTGTGGGGAAGATAAGGATCCTTTGGTAAGTAAAAAATCATATTTTTTTGAAAATAAGCCATCTCGGTGAATAAATGGTGTTTTTTTCCACATATTCTATTTTGATCATTTTCTCGTTGTCTCTTTTATTGTCCTCCTTTGTCTTTTTAACGTTATTTATCTGCATGATGCCACCTTACAGTTTTTCTTTTTAATACTCAGGGTATTCATCTAAACGCTTAAATACCTGCTAAAACCAAGGCATATCGCCTTGGGTAAAGAGCAAAATACACAACCAAAGGCATATTATGCATTTTAAATTAGTTTTTATTCTATAATTCTGCAAGATATTTTAATTCTCTATCTTTTGATGTATTAACTATTGCAAAAAGTTAAGCATCATGTAGCATAGGCACTTAGTGAGGGTTATAATCCCTAAGTACGGCCGCAGTCCGCTTACTCACAATGGTGCTCTAAGCAAAAGGTGTCCAGGCCCTATTCTTCGGCAACACAGAAAGGGGAATTTTACTAAGGACCAGTTTTTCAGTGCGAGTTTAACTCTGTTTATAGTTTAAACTGTATTTAAACTCAGTGTGCAGTTTTTCTGTCAAATTCAAACCGAGTTTTAACTAAGTTTTTCAGTAATATCTCCTGAAATGTGTTTCATGCACGCACGCAGAGACTTTGTACAATTTCGTCATATTTTATAGTTAAAACTCTGACATTTATCGAAATTTATTGCAATTATCCACTTTTTAATGATTTCCAGAGATTTTATGCAAAAAATACTAATTTTAATGCAATTTTAATGCAATCGTTAGGGCTTTCATCAAAAATGATAAACTGGATAAAAGGATAAATTTATCATTTTGATAAATGAACTGGCAAACTTTGTATTTAACCAAAGTTTATCACTTTATCAAACGATATTGGTGGATAAACGCATACATTTTATAAAAATTCCATCTTGACAGTTCGTCAGGTGGTGGCTTTTTCTACGAACACATAAAAAGCAAATGAACACAATAGACGAGGTAAGAATGAAGCGTAACTAGAAATATAAGTTAAATAATAAACAATTTTATGCAATTGTTTACCACGGTGCGTTTATGCAAGAATGCGGATAAAGGGATAAATTGAAGCAAATTGAACTTGCAGGTCTATTCTCCACGTTACCGAAGATTTTGTGACCGGAAAATTTTATTACCAAAAAATGTTACAACTTGTCACCGCGATTCTAGGTATGTTGGTAATGCAGTGAAAATATTCAGCAACTCAGCTATGAAGATTTGTGGAAATTCCTGTATTGCATATTTCACGGCGCAATATTTTGTTAACAGCTTATGAGATGGTAGCCAAATTTACCGGTTAAAAGAGAGCAAAGAATGCGAAAAAGTTTAAAAATTGACGGACACTTTAAATACCGGTTATACAATTTAACGCAGAATAGACCTGTTATTAACTTTTTCAGTAATTTTCCCCATGAAATGTAAACAAACAATGCGTGCACAATGATGAGCAAACCACAGTGCCGTCCTTTGCCGTTTCTGTATCTTCTACCATTTGCCGATAACTAGCCGATAACGCCAAGTGTGCAGATCTTCATTGAAATGCATGTGCGCGGCTCGAAATTTCAGAGCAAGACGATAAAACTGCCCTTACTTGAGGCGATTTTCCAGGCGATTCAACATTGCTCTGCAAAAATCGCTCGTGTAAATAGTGATTCAAAAATCGCTTGCCTCATAGTAGACAGAAAGTCAACTTTTGCAGGCGATTATTGCCTGTCAAAAAATCGCATCATGTAAAGGCAGCTTAACGCAACTATGATTGGACGACAAGTGTGCAGACGGCCTTAACCAGTTCTGTATCAAGATCAGTGTTGCCGCGAATCTTTTTAGCGGTAGCCAAATTCCTTTAAAAAAAAGGGCTAAAAAGTCATTGTGGCTAAAAATGGTAGATTAAATTTTTTACTTACATATACATGTATAAGTATACACGTAAACATTTTCAATAAGTGATGGAAAGCTAATGGTCCGTAGTCATAGTCAAAATAAAGTCGACTTTAGAGTTAGTTGCAGCTTTTTGACATAATTTTCAATGGGATATCTGTCAAAAAAGCTGCAACTAACTTTAAAGTCGACTTTATTTTGACTATGACTACGGGCCAATATTTCAATGAACTTTGGAAAGCTAATATTTTATCCACCCAAGAACCTTCTTGTATAAAAGGGGATATACGACACCGGCTTGCTGGCTCTATCAAGTGATTGTACTATCAGGTTCGAAGCATATAACCGCCATATACCAGCATGCTGGTGTAAAATTTTTTTTTTTACAAATGAGGTCCAGGAAAGATCGAAATGATTAGAGCCGAAATTTCATAATTTTTCTACCATTTTGTTAAACATTGGTTTTTTTTTTTCAATTCACAACTGCAATATCGCGAACTTCCACAAACATGGCTTTGACTCATATAGTGTAATAAATTTCCGCAAAAATACTTTTTACTTAAAAATTTAGCTAATTTCACCACTCGCGACACCAGCATGCTGGTAGAATCATCAAATTTTTAAATAGCTTTTGTAGTCGCACCAGCAGCTGGTACAATCACACCACAAGAACATACAGGGTCAATTGACTTGATGGGCCATTTAAGAAATTAAGCATATTAAGGACCGTAAATTATCTATTTTAAACTATAGTTAAATCGTTCATAAATAAGTTAACAGCCCTAACACTTTTACGGTATGTGTGTATAAAAAAGTAAGGAACTTACAGTACATATATATATCAGTCTTTGTTAAATTAAGCATACACAACTTTTTTATGCCAAGCGTGAATAAATTCTCCAAAAGGCTAAAAAAGGACTAGGGGCAATTTTAAATTTATATGGCCAAAAAAAAGTATGTAGTAGTTAAATCTAGCCACCAAAGGGCTGCAACGGCATGACTGATCACGATCATTTCTTACGGAAACGGTCCGGATCATTCCTATTGGAGTTGGCAGCACTAATTTTATACTACTACCACGAGGAAAACGAAATTATAAAAATGAATTCACTAATAGGNAGGACTAGGGGCAATTTTAAATTTATATGGCCAAAAAAAAGTATGTAGTAGTTAAATCTAGCCACCAAAGGGCTGCGACGGCATGACTGATCACGATCATTTCTTACGGAAACGGTCCGGATCATTCCTATTGGAGTTGGCAGCACTAATTTTATACTACTACCACGAGGAAAACGAAATTATAAAAATGAATTCACTAATAGGGAGTTCACAAGATGTTGTATACTGTCGTACTGTTGTACGTCATAAACTTTAAACGGCTAAAACTATATTTAAGGAGTCCACAAGCTAACATACAAATTTTATTATGAAATTTCACACCGTTAAAAAATAGTTGTTGGTGGTTTCAAGTCCTCTAAACATTTATTTAGCCGTTAAAAACTTTACAACATACGTCAATACGACATCTTGTGAACCACCCATAAATGTGGAAAAGTACATTTAAATGAAATAATATTCACTTAAACTTGGGATCATATCATATCAGGGTCATACAGTTGTTGTTGCCAGTGTTGCCAAACATGAGCTTTTCCTGCCAAAACTGGTAGGTTTTTTCCATTTGGTAGGTATGTAGGCTGGAAAGGCGGGTGCCACCTTGAGCAAGCCGCGCCGATTGGTCCGCGTCGCCATAACAGGAGATATGGGCACCTGTCCAACGGACGCCCTTTATGTCATTACAGGTATTCCTCCTTTGTCTATTCTGTTGAAAAAAGAGGCCTGCTGGAGCGCTCTACGACTGCCCAATGTAATCATCGAGAAAGTTCTGGCTCGTTCTAAATGCAGTTTCTAAAGATATTCCTGTATAATGCCGCGTTATCCTTCTACAAATTCTACAAGGTTAGAATTCCGTAAATGGACTGCTGTGAAGTGATAACAACTATGATTGACGANATTCTAAATGCAGTTTCTAAAGATATTCCTGTATAATGCCGCGTTATCCTTCTACAAATTCTACAAGGTCAGAATTCCGTAAATGGACTGCTGTGAAGTGATAACAACTATGATTGACGAAGGGTCCCAAGTACGGTAAACCAACGGATCAAAGATGGACGACGAGAGTATTGAGGCAGACGTATTTGGACCAAGATTCAGAAAAAGTCTGCCAATTTGCACAAACCCAACTGTATTCCAGGCTGAAGTCTTCGCAATCGAGGTCTGTGTACAAAGACAAATGGGGTTAAAATAAATATAATGTCGGAGAGTCAGCATTTTAAAGGCCTTACACTCTTTCAAAATGGCATCAGGCTTGTGGTCAGCTGTAAAAATCTTTTGAACCACTTGGAGGCCCACAATAGTAAACTCCTGTGGTGGGTTCCGGGACAAGAAGGGTTTGAAGGCAACGAAAGTGCTGACTGTCTCCAAAGCCTGGAGCCTGCGCTTGCATGGTCAATAGTATTTTGTGAGCTGGAGGAGGAAAACCCAGAGTATATTCTATGTGACTGCCCACGTATCATAAATAACAGACTGATGCACCTTAGGGGACGATTCATCCAAAGTTTGAAACATAACGCCTTCCAAAGTGTACATCTTCTTAAATAGCCTAAGGTAGCGCGAGTATCCCCGATGTAATTATAATAATATGCATGTGTAAAGAGACAAGCATGAGTTTAAGGCTTTAGGTTTAGGTACAGTAAAATTAATTCAATTAATATTAATAAATTAAAAAATTAATTGATATACATACGTAGTTAATTTGTTTTTGTTTTACTAGTTGTGTTTTTAGATTTACTGAATGATATGTTATCTACATTTTTAATAATCTTGGCATTGGATAAACAATTTAAAAGCTTCAAACATCTTTGGTTAGTTTCGGTTGGTCTATGTAGGAAATTTTGGTAGGAAAAAAATTTGTTCGTGGCAACACTAGTTCTTGCATTTGCATGAAAATTTAAAGGTGTTCGCACGAGGCGATTTTGCGTTCAACTTACGCAGGTTTGCACCAAAAAAAAGTTGAATGGCTAAATGTTGGCTGGCGACC